CATTAACGAATCTCAAAAATCCTCGGAGCTATGCGGGATTTAAAAAACAATTATAACTTTAAAATAATTTTAAAATTTTAAATATGGGTAAAGAAATGGGGCTATGATCCTGAAAAAATATATTTAGGATGCTCATAGGAAGAACAAATACAGCCTGAGCGGTCGACCAAGGTGGCATAGGATTCGAGTTATTTCTGCGGATGCCCTGTAAGGGGGAGGGGGCCAATTAAACGTAAAGCTCGGGCAAATGCGAAAATATGGCGGACCTCCAAAAATCAAGTTCCAAGCTCAATTACTTAAGGGGGGTGAAATTTTTTCCAGTCCCTATAGGATTAACATGGGAGCATGATATTTTAGTGCTTAAGCCCTCCCCATGCCTACACAATGGGAATGAAGCAGATAACTGGATGGGTCTCGACGAGTGGAACACTTAATTCAAATCTCAAGTCCGATACTCGAACAGAAGCCAGGATATTGTGAATTTAAACAAATTTAAAAAGTTTAAGACAATTAAAAATTATAAAAAATAGCCCTATGAGCACATTAAATTATAATAACTGGAAGAGAAGATAGAGAGGGATCGAATGAGCCAGGTCCTAATGGACTGTGAGGCTCGAGTGCCAAGATATTGGCCAAAAAGCTGTAGAGGGGGGAATGCGTCCCAACAGACATGGTTTATAACAATAGTCCAAATATCAGTCCTATAGCACCAAAAAAGTGGCATGTTACAATATTAGACCACGGTGTGCGCGCGCACATTGGTGTCGTGAAGGTATGTGCACGCATCCGTGACGGTGTGCGCGCGCATCGTAAAAATTTACCCTCATCCTTTTTCCCTAACTCCCAAAAAAAAAGGATAACTTCAAAAATAAATATACGAATACCAAGGGCTCTTATAATTTGCTACAATGTAATAAATGTGTTTACGTTCATTGCAATGCGTTCGTATTAAATATATCTATAATCATATACTTGCAATTGTTATTTAAATAGGTAAACTAATATTTACTCTTATGTTTTATGTACATGAAACACAATTTAAATATTAATTTACTAATTTTTTTTAATTTCCTGTATATATGTTTGGTTGAATAACAAAAAGTGTTCAAACCGATGCATCAGAGAAGATCCGTAGGCGAAGGATTTCTCCCTATTAGTAGTAACGTCACAAATCAGCGCAAAGCAAAGGTACGCAGACACGGAGGGTACAGCTCAGTGATAGAGCATTCGCCTGCTAATCGAGAGATCCCCGGTTCAAATCAAGGTGCCCTCTTCTTCAGGGAACTAGAGATAGTTTTTTGAGAAATTTCAAGGCGGGAATAATCTGTCCCGTTCTAAGTATTTCTAATCAAAGCATTTTCGTATCCGTTCCTATGGAACACAAAGCAAAGGTTAACTGACGCGGGGGTATAGATCAGTGGAAGAGCGTCCGACTGCAGATCGAGAGGTACCCGGTTCAAACCCGTGTGTCCTCTTCTTCAGGGAAGTGATGAGAAATATTTTACTGAAAATTTCGAAGGCGGCAATGATCTGTAACGTTCTGTATATTTCTCGACAAAGCATTTTCGCATCCGTGATGGTGTGCGTCTTCCGAGACGGTGTGCGCTCACATCGTAAAAATTCAGCCTCATCCTATTTTTCTAACGCCCCAAAAGAAGTATAACTTCAAAAATAACATTTCTACTACTTTCAGTGAAATTCCCTCTGTGTTTAAGGAATTGTTGGCTTTTGAAGGTGTATCTAGTGACATTTGAGAGTTGGCAAGCATGGTTAGTTGGAGGCGTAACTCTTCAGTTTTTCGAAAATGCTTTGCAGGTTTTTCCTAGTTTTTAGTGAAATTGGTTTTCTGTAATAACGGAAATGTAAGTAAAGGCTGAAATAAGTGAAAATATAGTTATTGTTGTCAGCCATATAGTGGTCTGTCAAATATAAAATTTTACCTTTGGCGGTCCACGAAGTTCTTCAGGTCGGTGACCACTGCCTTATATTACAGCATTCTCACATTTTTTCTCAGTTAAATATTATGAAATTAGGAAGTTTCTCAAATAAATTATATTGAGAGTTTCTCAAAACCATCAGATATTCTTTATTGACAAATAGTTTAGATTTTCCACGCTCTTTTGATGGACATCGCAGTATTATTTATTTAAAATGAAAAAAATAAAATATCACGCACGAAAGTTTTAATTTAAACATCATTATCTTCATTTAACTATAGTTATGAAATTTATAGTTCATGTATGAAGTCATAAGTGCTCAGTGTACTGACAATAAGAAACTCTTCTTTAAAAAAGATTGTCCCACTTCCTGACGTGCAAAGTAAATTTTTTCCTTCAAACAAAACAAAAAAAAAATACTTTCTTCCTGTAGACGAGGCTAATAAATCTATATATGTCTATTTATAAAGGAATGTTTGTTTTTAATTGGGATATACGTTTAAGAAGGTTATAACCGTAAATGGACAACGAAAACAAGAATGTGACAGCAATGAAAGCGCTATGAACGGCACTCTACGGGATTGTTCATAGACTATTGTTTATAGAACTATGGGCATATTAATGAAGCTAATCAATAAGCTGGAGAAAAACGGGTTTGAAAAGTGGCTTTTAAAAGACGTATTTACTTTCAAGGGTTATGTCATAATGAAAAAAATGTGTGTGTGTGTGTGAAAGCTTTTTGCAATCAACGCAGTTAATTCTAAATTACATATATTTTTATTGCACTGAGAAAAAAGGCAGTCCAAATGGATTAAAAAAAAAGTATTGGCAAAGTATTGATACAGGGTAATTAAATGAAGTTTACGATTTCTAGGAGAACCTATAAAACGGACAACAAATCAGCAATTTTTATCAAAGCTTGCACATTCGCATGCTCGTACTGTAATTTTGATATCGTCTCCATATGCATATACAAGGTGGTAAGATGTGTAGGGGCTACATAGACGACTCAGAATGATATAGGATAGCAGGGTCGCCAATTCCGCAGTTACGAGCTATGGTGCAAAGAAGCATGAAAATAGAACAGAAATAGCAACACATAATTGGGACAGTAAACACTTTTTTGAAATTTTGTACAACAGCAGGGGTCCTAAAGTACGGACAGAAGTCGTCAGGTAGGCCGGACAGAGATACTGCATGGAATTCCTTAAGCTCTGGAAGATTAGTGGCATGTCAACTATCCTCTCGACAGCTACAGATTTTCGAGGTTTTCTTTTTACTGAAGGAACAAGCTTCCATACACCTAGAAGAAATTCACGCATTTTCGAACACCTGTTGTAGAACAACCTCTCAATTTCTGTCTTATTAGTGTTTTAATGTTTTTGTCCTTTTTCTCTGCGTTTTTGCACCTTAGTTCGCAACTCCGACATTTGCAACCCTGCATATTCCGATGTCATTACGAATCGTCTCTGTCTCCCCTACACACCCTACCAGTTTGTCGATCTGGTAGTGAATCAGTCTGTATACATAAATTCCCTCTTTCGAAAATCTCAGTGGCGCAACAGTCTACTGTGACCATCTCAGTTTTCGTGAACTTGGTCACTGAGGTGCATGAGCAGATGTTCCGGTTCGGTGGATAGTCTGACGCGAAATCGACAATGTTTAGTTCCATAAATAATTCTCGAAAAATAAGGAAAAAAGAAATCATAAGTAAAAAGAAATACGTGACCTGCAGACACTTTTTGCATAAACTATTTATGAATAATTTAGGTATAGTATTCATATGCTTAAAAACTATTTCTTTGATATTTATCAAACATTAAAATAAAGGTCAAGGGAAAATATTTATAGTTACATAAATGAAAACCTTTTTAATGTTTTCCTAATAAAACAAATTTAATTTCTGTGTAAATGATGATATAAAGAAAAGAAATTACAAATAAACTCAAAAGTGGAATAGATACATAATTTATAACACTTTTTGAAAACTTCTTTTCATTTCTATATTGTCCATATTAAACAAAGTCCACAGTAGCGCGTGCACAGCGAAATGTTTGAATGATTTTCGAATGTAGCATTTAATATGTTTTAAGATAAATTCATTGAAAATCGTTGTTTGTTCTTTTAGCCACATTAACATGTCTGAATTGTCTTTAAATATTTTTTGATCATGCATGATAATTACCTTTAAGGTGTCCGACTATGTTCGGAACCGTGATTTTTCAAAAGCGTAAAAATAGATAATATTCATGATATTTAGTGTCACTTAGATTAAAAAATTATTTAAGTACCATATTTTGACAAAAAATGAGCATAGAATGACCCATTTTCAAAATATTCTCCTTTTGTGAAAAATGCTTCTATTATATAATAATATTTTGCCTGTATATAACTCAGACCTCTGTACAAAGGCTCAACTAGAATTTTTGAAAAATATAACTTCGAAGTGGGTTTATCCATGTTTTATGACAACAGAGGGGAGAAATTTTGAGAAAAAAAACGCCGTTAATTATTTCAATTGGTTGTAACTCTGCAAATAACTTCGTGAATTTTTCAAAAAAAAAATAGTTCAGACTCTCTGGAGAAGTCTTTACTTTATATAAGCACACACACAGAATATTATTATTTTAGAAGCATTTTTTATAAAAGGAGAACATTTTGAAAAAAAGGTTATTCTAAGTTAATTTTTTGACAAAATATTGTATTTAACTTACTTTTTCTGGTCAAAATCTCTTTAAAACAATTTTATACATGTACTCCAATCTAAGTGACACTAAATATCATGAAAATTATCCACATATGAGCTTTTTTTAAAATCACGGTTCCGAACGTAGTGCGATACCTTAAATGTTTTCTACAATGTATTTTGTTTTTGCAAAGATTTCACAATATAATCACGAAGGACAGAAAATTTTAGTTTTTATGATAATGATTCTGTTAATCCAAATTCAATAATAATATTTAATTAATTATTCTATCAAATAATCATTTATTCCAAAATGGACATCAGTATTTCATAATAAAATATATTACCATTTAAAAATTTCTACTAGTTGTTCAAAAGTCTGAAGAGAATGTTAAATATTTTCATTCAGTGAATTTTCAGTTATTAAAAAAAGTTTTGAATAACTGGAAATATTGCATTACATTTCATTTGAATGCCATGGAATACGAAAACTAAAAACAGTCCATTAATTTTTCAAACAGTGACTTTACAGTTTGAATTCCTCAAAATATTCAGTTCATATCCATTGGCTTTATTAATTCTCCATAAATTCGAATATAATTCAAAATATTCTATTAATTCATTGATATTTTAATAACATAGTAGCGGAAGTTAATACTTTAATTCAAAAAAAATATTGCATACATGACGTCAAAAGAGAGAAAGATTGTCAAAGAGAACATCGATTACTTAAATATGATGAATAACTTTTGCAAAAAGGGAGTCCTAAGTGCTTCTTCTGGTCTTTCTAAATACATGTATTGTTTTCTTATACCTCTTGAGTTTTATTTAACAATGAATTGAGATAAGAAATCAATAAATGTGTCTGAGGGAAATAATTTAACCCCCTGAGAAATAAGAAGCCGAAACATTGAGTATTGTTTGGATATAATAGAATACTTCTTCATACTAGTGTCCAATGAAAGCCTCATTTTATTTCCATTATTATGCGAATATTTTGACAGTCTATGCATCAAAAAGGAAGATTTTTATGGATGTAATGATAGACAAGCAACATAATGAGAGAATTATCTAATTGAAAAGTATATTAGAGTAAATGGTTTTCTTAGAAATAAATCCTCGAACACATCAATAAGTAAATAAAACACTTAAGTTCTACATACCTTTGTATGTCTTTTATTGGTATAAATACCCGGATATATTTATTCTCCGAAAATTAGTATAGCGCTTTTCAGGAATGGCAATGATTGTCCATTATTTCTTGACCACAATAACGCATTGTAATAGTTGTGAAGCTGAAGTTTATAATAAGATAAGTGCATTTATTCATCAGGAAGGTAGTGTATCTGTATTTGAGGAGCGCAAAA